GCATTACTTTTGTTGACTTTCTCAGTATATTGAGTATTTAAATTAATCATTCTTCTCTATAAATACGTAGTCGGTCTTGCTTTTCATTTGTGTTTATAATTTCTTCATTAAAATAAATCTCTGCATAACCCATAGCGTTCTATCAATATAAATGTTTATTATAGATATAGCTAAGTAAATGTCAGTTCATATATCAATTTTTCTATTTTCTGAGTCCAGTATATTTTCCACAATATGTATATTATAGGGCTTATAAATCAATTACATTTAGACGATATAATTATCTAATAATAGAAGACTCTTCAATGGATACACACGACATGAGTAATAAACTTCAGATTCTAGTATAAATCAATATTAAAAATCCATAATAGAAATGAAAACAACTTTAATATATTCTTTCATGACTTTTATAGAAAAAAGTAACTGAATTAATAATAGTAACAAATATATAATGCATAAGTTGCTTAAGAAAAGAGTTCGAGTTTAGGAATCTTTCAGTTAATCACCAAAGCAAATGGATAATTTTATTTACTATATTAAAATAATATGAAAAATTTATTTTGCTTCTTAAATTTTTTCTTAATATAGGATTCGTGTTCTCAATGAACAGGGTATGGTCATGCGCAAAACATCAGCCTATGCCTTACCAAGACCATGGTGCGTGGTACTTTATCACACCCTTCTCGAGGTGAACCTGTTTGTAGTTGATAACTTCATTGACTCAACAGAACACTATGGATCTAGAGAGGAAAACTCGATAAAACCCGTAATCTCCGGTGTTATTCGACCCGTGCCGATGAGATGAATGGCACTACGTTAGTGTGTCTCTAAACGGAGACCTCCGGATAACTGGCGCCCTCCGGTTGTAACTTAGCCTTGTCCGGGTATAGCGGATCTCTGCCCGGATCGACTTTCCTTTCTCCGCAACTCGTGGGTTTAAAATGTGAACCAAAATAATAAAAATTTACAAAAATCAAGCTCGGTTAAACCAAGCTCTTCTGGAACGGCTAGTTCCAAGGTACCTACCGCAACTTCTAGCGGTAATAACAGGGTACTTCATTAGCAAGATCTTACTTATTTAGTCCAATTTGAGTCCAGTTCATTTTTTCATTACCTAAATAGTATTGTATAATTGGTAATAAATTTTTATTATTGGATTGGCTTTCTAGATGGATATATATGTCAACATGGGCTATATATTTTGCTTCGTTGCTTGATCAGATGGGAGTTAGTATCTAAAGCATTTTTATTTAATAGTATCTATAACCACTTGGATGATCCAATGTAACAACAGCACCATGAGTTAATCAAGGAATTTCACAAAAATTTCATTTGAAACTTAGAATATTTTCCTAATGATTTATGTAGTACATGTGACCACAGATTAAAACTCATAGCAACGACAGATTCGAAAAATTTTCGCGCTTAAGGTACTTATTTAGACTAAAAAGTCGAGACTTCTAAGTTATTGGTTTTATATCTTTATCTCTGATATATCATGGAGCTTTAAGCAGAATTGGAAATATAATAAGTTTAAAGTATTCTAATGGTGGATGTAGTGGCATTGCTTTAAAAAACACAACAAAGTAGTTAACGTCTAATTACTGGCTTTTAAGACGAAGTTCTTGTATTAATGGAGCAGAGCATTCAGTGTTATATTATCAGTCAGTTTTTTTACCATTATATTCTCAAGACATATACATTTTTATTAAAAAGTTAGTCTCAGGTCTTATATATTGTCTTCCCATTCATTACTTATATGTGGACTTTAATTTTTCTGGACTTTGATTTCTTTCTTAGACTATGATTTCTGATTTTTTTCTATTTTTTGATTTCTTATTAATATGCAGTTGTAAGTTGTTTACAGCAGAATTAGCATTTGTATTAGATGCATAGTATGTGTTAGTATGCCATGTCGCCAACGAAGCGCGTAACTGACTTCAAAGATCCCTAAGAATACACTTCTGCATGTAAATTACAAAATAAATTAAATAATAAATTATCTTTATTAAGAGAACAAATATCTAAAAGTTAGTAAGATTATAATAAATAACCGAACACATACAACAGATATATATATGTATATATGTAACATATTAAAAAGTATATGTATATGTATGTATATGTATATTGTATATATATACAATATTTATACAAATACAGTCTTCGATTTATTTTATAGAGTATGTGATTACAGACCCCTACCATTTCCCATCCTGTCTTATGTCTTATGGTAAAACAGGGTGGGAAGTGGTTGAGAAACTGCAGCCGCATTATCTCTAAAATAAGTTTCAGAGATAATATATATATACATATATATCTATATATGTATATATACATATATTTTTATATTTATTTATTATTAAAGCATCATGACTGTTTATAAAAATAAAATCTTATATTAAATTCCTGAAATCATATCAACCTCTCACCTCTGGCTGCGAAAGTAAGTTTCCGGCTATAGTTGCGATAGATGAATAGATATTTGAAATTCGTTTCTTGTATGTAGCGTATTATAATGTTTATATAATCGGTTTTTGCAATGTTGTTACTTATAGTTTTCTGGGCAACCTATGGTTCTTATACTAACGACATTGTTGTTGTGTGGCGTTGTTTTATTTAAACAGCGCAAAAGTGAAAAAGTATGACATTTGATGGAAGTACATACTTTAATTTTAACGCTTAAGCACATTATTAAAATGTCAAATATTTACAGTTTATTGCAGCTGCACTGTTTAGACAACGTCCCCAGGCGCTTGCATATTATTGTGCTTAGGAAAAGCAAACTACATAAACCAGAGCGAAACTAACCGAGCAAAAACTGAACGTGCCAAACTAGTGCCACACCAGTGCCAACGATACCACCTTACCACATTACTACCTTTTCCAACTGCCACCATTCAACCGAGTAAGCAACCGAAAAAGTATCTTAGTCGAGCTAAGGTTTTGCTCTGCGGCTGATTTTACGTGGCTATGTGCCTTTTTTGGCGAATGCATAATGTGCTTTTGACATTTACATAATCTTGAAAAGGTTTTTCTGGTTTCGCTTTCCTTCTGCTGGTTTGTGGAAACTCAGCTTTTTCCAGCATAAGGTTTTGCTTGCTGGCTTGGCAGCAATTGTTTATGAAAAATGAAAAAGTAACACATAAAAATGTGGTTACATTTGCATTATTAACACACAAAATATATTGTATTTGAGCCTTGCAAAGGATACGGACATAAGTTAACGGGTACACTTAAATACGGGCAGACACATCCGCACGAGCCTCTTGTGGTGATATGGCCACTGTGACATCATTTTGCTCCTTTTTTCTATTTTTAATTCTCGGAACTTAATGCCAAATGTGGAAAGGAGGAAACTACGAAGTGCATGTGTTTTTCCAGTGAGTGACAACGGTTGAAGTGTGTAATTTAGGCAACATTTAAATTTATTTAGGATATTTGAGGGGTCATTTAATACTGCTAATATACAGTGTACAGGGTGCTTTTTATAAGCCGCACGTAGTAGACTAATTGAGTTTTACGTCCTGGTATTATGACATTTATTTCAAATTTAATGAACGAACTAAAGTTGTTGTTGGAAAAATTTGAATAAACGTTTCTAATATTTTGAATATGAAATTAGTTGAAAAGATGGTAGTAAATTCTAAAATATATTACATTGTATATACATATTATTATACGTGTATGTATTTATATAAAATTAGTTGAAAACATAATAGTAAAATATATTGCAAAAATTTGATAAAGTTTTTGTTTATAAATTACTACATCATTCTATTTAAATAATAACCATTTTATAACAGATAATTGGTTTAAAAATAAAATGTGATTTAATAGATGGAGTGGAAAAAATCACTACATCCAGGTTCTTACAAAAAATAGTACGCATAATAAACAGAAACAGAACGGGTCTCTCCAAACCAGCGACAGTAAGAATTGCTTTTTAAACTATTGTATGGCAGGCAGCACAATTGAGAATTGAATAACAGAACTTTTTTTTATAACTGTTATAACTGTTATTATATAACTGTTATAACTGTTATTATATAACTGTTATAACTGTTATTTTATAACTGTTATAACTGTTATCAAAAAGAGGGAGAGAAATTATTTCCACATATTCTTTGCACATGGTTTGTACTCTAGACACAGATGAGCTAGGTTAGTCGTTCTTTAGAAAGCTCAGAGAGCTACTTAGAGGTAATTAATACTAATGAGCTTTAGAGGTTTCTCAATCACAAAGCCTGGATCTAAGTTGTTTGTTTAGAAAAACAAGCCGACAATTAGTTGGTAATGAGAAAATATGGTGCGATTGCTTTAAGTGGACCTATGAAAAGTTAATACTTCAACTAATTAATAGTTTCTCTAATCTATTGCGAAATATTCTTTTACTTAACTTAAGACATAACCTATAATAATTTATTTATAACATTTCTTACAAAGGAAACAAACTCTGACTTGGCAAAATTTAACAGTGGCCTGACTAAATTAGTTTTAATAACAATTAGGAACTATATACAATTAATATGACTTGAAGACATATTCATGAAGTTAAGTTGATTTCGTTGATCAGTTTTGTAATTCTTCCAACCCTGGTTTTAAAGATTTATTAAATTTTAATTTTTAATTAGAAAATTTGACATTGTTCTAAATAAAGACATAAATATTATAATTAATTGCATTTAATAAAAAATACTTTTATTAACAACAATCACAATAGCTTAAGAGCTTGCACTATAATTGATTTTTTTTTTTCTTTTCAGGTGCTTGTGCTATCATCTTATAGGAGCGCAACTAAAATTTCAGATATACAAAATCTCTTGTAGTCTAAAGAAATGAACTCAGCGACTCATATGTTGTACATAAAACATATTTTTTTCAAATATAATCACCATTAGACTGATCATTCTCGGTAATATTTTTGTTGCCTAATTAAGGCGACACTTGCTACTTTTTCATCTCAACACAAATGTGGTGTTCTCAATGCATTTTTAACAATAGCCTGATATGCCATGGCTCAGTACAATTCTCCGACTACAGAAAATGTAAATATTCAACAGAAAGAAGCTTGGCTGTACTACAGGAAGCGACAACAATATCACTGGAACATAGACGATAATAGCACTCGCAGTATTTGGCCTCTAAGAAAAATTCAACGTAACCGTTACTTCTACACTTCACTGACTAAGCTGAAAAGCCTAATAGGTTCAGTGATAGTTGCCCGAAAGCACCTAACATTCAATGTACACATCATACCACTCGCTCAATTGCTTTGGCTGTTATGCTGTCTGAGCTTGGCTCATAACTCCATGGCGGATTGTCCAAGCTTATGCGAATGCAAATGGAAAAGTGGTAAAGAATCAGTTTTGTGCCTTAATGCAAACCTCTCTCATATCCCCGCAACATTGGATGCCGGCACTCAAGTTTTGGACTTGACAGGTAACGAAATAACCAGCATTCTTCATGACACTTTTGCCAATATTAATTTGCTTAATCTGCAAAAAGTGTATATGGCCAAATGTCGTTTAAGATTAATTGAACGCTACGCTTTTCGTAAACTAATCAATTTAGTTGAATTGGATTTGAGCTACAATATGCTGACTATGATACCAGCGCAGGCATTCGAATTCATATCGGAATTACGTGAAATCAAATTGAGCGGAAATCCCATATTTCGAGTGCAGAACGATGCATTCATAAAGGTGCCACAGTTGGTGCGCTTAGAGCTCTCAGATTGCAAGTTGAGCGTAGTTGAAGTACGCGCGTTTGCTGGTCTAGAATCTAGTTTGGAGTGGCTTAAATTGGATGGGAATAAGTTAAGTGAGGTGCGCTCAGGTACAATCACTTCACTAGCTAACTTACATGGTGTAGAATTGGCTCGCAATCAATGGAATTGTTCTTGTGCTTTACGACCACTCAGATTGTGGATGTTACGAAAAAATATACCATATGGTGTGCCACCCATTTGTCGTGCCCCAGCACGTTTAGCTGGAAGAACTTGGGACAAAATCGATCTAGATGATTTCGCCTGTGTTCCACAAATTATTGCCACCGACACTACAGCGCATGGCGTAGAGGGTCTAAATGTAACTATGAGTTGTTATGTGGAGGGTGTACCTGAGCCTTCAGTTCGTTGGATGGTCAAAAATCGTGTTATTGCTAATTTGAGTGCAACCAATGATCCATCCGCTAGTCCACGGACCGCTGCAGCCACTCAAGGACGCAAAACTTACGTAGTCAATATGTTGCGAAATGCATCAAATCTAACAATACTCACCGCTGATATGCAAGATGCTGGCATCTATACGTGCGCTGCTGAAAACAAAGCTGGTAAAGTAGAGGCTTCAGTAACTCTTGCCGTGTCGAGACGCCCGCCTGAAGCGCCTTTAGGAGTAAAAATTGTTCTACTCTGCATTTTGATTGCATTGCTATTCGTTGTAGGCTCATCTTTTGCCGCTATTTGCTTTTGTTCGTTGCGACGTAAAAGAAAGATGCGTTTATGGAACTCGGTACCACCAGCACGTACAGAAAGTTACGAAAAAATCGAAATGACAGGACGTGTATGCGGCGGTAATATGGGTGGAAGTGCAGCGGGCGGTCACAATACTCACGGTGTAGGTGGTATTAGCGGTAACAACGGCAATGGCAAACCTGACTTGGGTGCTTGTGTAGCCAATGCTTCTGGCGCAATTTTCCACAATGATGAAAATGGCTATTTGCGCAACGCAACAACTCCGCTTAACTGCGGTTCCGACGATGGTGGTGACACTGGTGTTGCAATTGTTAATCCAAGCGGTGGCAGTGCTAAACGCAATGGTGATTATCGTAATATACCAACGTACTGTGATGACGATGGCACTGGTTATGAGGATAATGATAATTCGCTTCATGCCACTACTTACCAGCACACAAAGTCCTCTTTTGCTGCTGGTATGGCATGTGCAGCAGCTGCAGCAACAACGACAGCAGCAACATCAACAACGGCACGTTGGAAAGGCGCAACTTTACGTACAAGTCCAAAGGACAGCAAACGCAGATCTACCACAGTTGGTTCCGCTACAGTTAATACATCAACATCATCAGTGTCGTCCATGAACAACACAACGCTGGAGGAAACAGATTTACACATACCGCGCCTGATTGATATAGGGTAAGTCCTATGCCTTTTTACATATTTTTTCATTGTGTGTATGTGTGTGTTTATAGCATTTTTTTTTACTATGGTTGTTGTAATTGTAACAGTTTTTGTGTCCTCTGCCATGGTTCGTTAATTCAAGCACTACAAAATGTTGTGGTGTCGCAATTGCTAGCAACAAAAAGTTGCTCGTACTGTTGCTGTTGTTGTTGCTGTAGCTGTTGCTGTTGCTGTTCTTGTTGGTACAATGAAAACGCCGAACCGAGTTAAAATGGGAAACACTTGACACTTTCCACTTGAGATACTTCAGTGATAAAAGTACGGAAATAACACGTGCTAATGATGTGCGAAATATGCGATGCGCTCGTTATTCCGTTGTAGCGTATGGCACCACTCTACGTGTAAGTGTTTGATTTTTTCGTTTGTTTGGATGAGATCTCTTCATGTTGGTACAATGCATGCATGCACGTGCTCTTGCGTGTGCATGTCTTGCTTATGCTAATACAAGTTCCGTTCACTTGCATCGGCTATATCCTAACCGATATGCGCTATGTTTTCTTCTACTGTGGCTTCGTACTATTCTAAGTCGTCTATGATTTTGTGTCCACTTTTACCACTGCTTTGTCGTGCTTCTTATAGTCTAACTATTTGCATGTGGCAACATCGTGCACGAAACGGAAGAACGCTGCAGGCATTTTGCCAAATTGGTTGCATGCCTTTGTGAAGAACGCTTCCATAAGCGATGTTTGTATTGTTTTCCATAAAGTTCGTGTTATTTTTGTTGTTAATATCACTGTTACCACCGTTCCTGTGTGTAGTTTTATTTCGTAATTATCATCGTTGCTGTTACCGTTACCGTTGCTGTTGCAGTTGCTGTTAAGGTTTTCTTGTTTCTGGTGCTCTTCATTGTCTTGATGGCGGTAGTGTTGTGGTTTATTGCCACTGTTCTACTTTCTAAATTTGAATCAAGCACTTCACGGACTCTAAGTGCTGTCTGCGAAGTGTTTTTCATAATTAGAAGAAAAAATTCTAACTGAAAATGCATTTCAAGCCCAAATCTTACGATATAAGTTTTCGTATATGTTCGGTATAATTTCGATTTCAGATCCAAAATAATAATCTTATTCGCCTAAATTTTACATATTTTTAGTTGTAATATAAAAAAATCACGTTTGTTTTTTTCTCAGCAAAAGTGTGTGAATTTTGTGAGAAGATCATATGGGTGCCTCATGGCCAAGACTAAAAATAACAACAGTTTTCTGTGTTTATAAACAATGTCATACTGGAGGCATTATATTGTTTTTCAGTTAATGGCATATTGGACTGAAATGTGATATAGTCTCAGAGTTCAGAACGATTTAGAACGATTCTTAAGTACAGTCAGGCTTCATGATTGATTGGTTGGGTCAACACCCAGCAAGTGAAGAACTCAACCATCTCACGCTGTACGTATTTTATAAACGGTTGGATGACTTTTAAGAAGGAGATATTCTAAGTCTAACAGTCTAACATTATTAAGAAGTGTTTAAATTTTACTTTATGTATCTTAAAATTATTGTTTTAATTATTGTATGTTGTTTTAAACAAAAGAAAAACATATAGTTTGTTTCACTTGTCCCACAATGTCCCAACAATAAGTCATTGTTAGCAATTAATCATTGACAGCTTAGGCCTCTCTAATTATGAAATAAAAATTATGTTGTGTATGTTTAAAATTCAGTTTGTGGTTTCAGTTGTCATAATAATACGTAAAATAAAATAATTTCTTTTTTAATATACTTTCAGAGCTAGTCCTGATTCAGCCTCGAGTTCAATATCAAGTCAAGTAGATGCAGCGCAGCGTCTGGGTGCAGCACTTTCTCATATGTCCCCACCGACTTGGACAACAACGCCAATTGCGACTACTAAAATCACTTCACCGCACAGTAAGCACATTGATTTTAAAAATGGTATGACCATGGGTGGCAAAAATAATAGTTATTTTGGCAATGATGGTGTGAATACATCACTATTCCACAGCGCAGATAACACAGAACCGGATCTTTTCGATAGTAACTATCCTGATCTACTGGATATAGCAAAATACGCCGTAGCACATGCAATAAATCCTAACAAGTCACAACAGAACACAGCATCAAATACAAATTTTGCAAGTGGCGCATTATGTACATTGCCCAGAAAATTAAAGAATACGGGAAAATATTTCAAGAACTCATCAGATAGTCAGTCACCACTTTTGGCAGATAATTCGAGCAAATATGGCAGTAGTACTTTGGGAGATGCTAGTTTTCTAAATGATATTGCACTGGGTCGGCGTTTTTCTGCAGAGTCTACATACTCTAACTATGCTGGTACATCAACGTATACTTCAGGACAACGTTCGAATAGTTTTCTTAGCTTGGTGCAAAGTTCGAAAAATACCGCAGGTTGCTTACCTTTGTCTAATACGAAAAATTCAATAAACAGTGGCAGACGAAATCCCAGTTTACCTTCATCACCAGTTCATGAGATGCATCAGCATCAGCGTTCATTTAGCTCAGCAGCAACACCGTTACTAGATTTTTCATCACTCACCACACGAGCAGGTGTCTCAAACACACCGAATGCAGCTGGCACAAGCGGACTGACACCCACAATGCTACCTGCTAATCCTACATCAACTGTATCCGCATATGATTATCATGCTGCACAATTGGAACGCTTCTTAGAAGAGTATCGTAATCTACAAGATCAGTTGTGCAAAATGAAAGAAACTTGCGAAACCATACGAAAGAAAGAAGCACCCATGCGCGTTGGAGTTGGTCATGCTGCTCAAATTGCTGATCCTGTGATGTTCAATGCAGCAATGGCTGTTAATAGCCCCACGGCAAACCCAAAGACTACCATGTTGAAAAACAAAGCAATACTACCGGGACAACCACCAGATCCACCGCCATATTGGCTCCATCGTAATGCCATGCTGAAACGGCTAAACGATTCACAGACAGACATTTTTAAAAGCTAATGAAATTGTGAATAGTAAATAGTAAATCTGTTGAATGCTAGACCTAAGTTAAAATCTGTGTAATTTAATATAGTTCGAGAAGTATATAGTTAGAGTTATGAAAAAGCTTTCACATTATTTTATATATGTTATGTATGATAAGGCAGTTCCTTTATTTGATTTTTTCATACAATCTTACTTGCAATTTTATGACAGAATTAAATCAGTTCACACATATTTATATATAACTACATACATGCTTAAAATTTTCTCTTTAGATATCAGATAAGAAAATAGATAATGCAAATCCTTCATAAACATTCTATATAAACGAAAGTAAAATAAAATAAAATTAGTGACTAAGATTCTCGCATTTTGCGTAGCATTTAGATTAAGAATTCAATTCTTTAATGTGTAAAATAGTTTTCGTCATTCAGCGCTAAAAACAAAAAACTAAATTATAATGATCGGTCATCACCGACTCAAATACCCTACAACCAATTAAGGCGAAACCAGGCGCAGTACATTGAAGTAATTTCAATAAAAACATTAAGTTCATTTTCAGAGAGCAAAGAGTTTAGGGATGGGATTTGTAGTTAGAAAGGGAAGGGAATGTGGAAGGAATGGTTTTACAAAAACCATTTAATGTTTAGATCTCTAAGTTAGTTGATTTGTAAATATTGTATATTCCTAAACTGATCGACGTGAAGATAAGAGTAAATGCTGTAAAAGTTTCTATTGAAATATATGATATGTAGAAGTTCCGGTAAGATGCGTCGTATTTGATTGTAGGGTGATAAGTGTATTATGGACTCTCTAGATTGTAAGTAAAATTCAAAGATAACTAAAATAATAACAGCACAACCCACACTTAACATATCTCAAAGTCAAAAACTCACTCAGATTAAAGACACACACACATATATATATATACACATTCGACACATTGAACACAGTCATACCATATAAGGATAAAAGGAAGCTGTATTATTTAAGGAACTCGATTTGTAGCTAAAGTTACTACTGTTGAACTATTGTTAGTAATTTGAATTTAAGATAAACTTTGAGAGAAATTAAAAGAAATAAATTAAATTAAATAATTGAAAAATAATACAAAATAATTTAATTATTTTAGATATACGTAATATTACAAAATTGAAATAAATCAAAGTTGTCTTTAAAGTAAATATTAGTTTTAAATTTATTATATGTAACGATTAAATTCTACTACTATATAAATTTAGGGAGAAATACTGTTAAATACAAATTAAAATAAATAACTAAATAAATTAGTTTAAAAAAAATTTTCTCCCACTTGTTTTTTTTTTTTTCTAACTTTATTAATATATAGTAAGACCCTAATCTATTGTTGTGATTAAAAAGGATAATTAATTAGTTTATGTCACAGTATTAATTATTTTTTCTGTTTTTTTTCAGATTATATAAGTTAATTATTAAATAAAATATACGATCGCGTGTGCTTATTTCAGTATCCAACTTAGGAGCTACGAAGGCCAAAAGGAACTTCTCCAGACAAACAAGTTGATATCCCGTTTAGTAGCAATCAGGCGATCGATTATTATGCCATGATTATACTATTAATGAAACTAAGAACTGTGGCTGGATTTGAGAGGCCGCTGGTGTTAACTTATATAGTCCCCTTTTACCCGAGGATCTACTTTTGGGCTAATTTTTTTATGATCATGAAGGTGTTTTATATACCGAGTCAAATCACAATAGTCTATTTCGTACTGTTATTTTTATTTTGTTAATCCTTGGTTGTGAGTATAGATTATTAAATACTTTCTGCATGAGAACCTTAAGTGATAATACAAGACAGAAATATTATTAAAATTAAATTATTTTTGTATTATAATTTTTTAGATAATTATGTTGTATTTATGTTTTGCATATTATTTCTGACATATATTCACTAGGGCTAAGAGTTACATGGTTCCTTCGATCAGTACAATTTTCGTCTATTTTTTGCAATAAATGTGGCCGTATATGGAGGCATGAATGACTTTCAATACTGCATAAATTGCTGGATTGTAGATTAACGGCTATACCTTAGCAGAAACGATATTAAACTCTACACTGAACTTTTTACAGGATACTGTAGACTTAATTACGGAATTAAGGTGTGGTAGGAAGTAATTCTTGTCGACTCTGTTATGAGGAGAACGAAATATCAGAACATTAATGTCACATTTTAACTAAATATTTTATATTCAAACAGTGGATATTAGTCACCCTTTTTTAGTTGGTCGTATCTTTTTATTATTATTTGTACATTATCTGCGTATCTTGAACATAACTTGAGAAGGTATTGCACAAAACAATTATTAGTGTTTATTAGATTAGTGTAATAATTTCAGAATTATGTAAAGAGCAAATTTTATGTATTATTAAATAAACTAATGCGATATTAGTCAACTTGGAAGTTGTAAGTCAGAAGCTGAGACACTGCCAATATAAATATTATACATATTAGATCGTAACAACATATACTATATTTCTAGTTAAACTAATATTTATTATTAATATTTTTGCATACGAGATTGGGACAGAAGACTTATGTTAATAAAAAATTATTGAAATATATTAATTATTGATAAAAGAAAAAAAGAAGAAATAAAATTGAAGAGGTGCAATGTTTGCATCGTGCTAGTAATCAATTTGCACTGTTGACAACCAGATAAATTCACTGCATCAATGCATTTGCAACGCTTCACCTAATATTTTTGCACTTCGAGCATCGTACAGCATGTGAATCTATACACCGTAAGTATTTTCCCATACTTTGGCTCCATAGCTCCTGATTAATAGTGTCAATACTTTCACCTATTCTTCCTTGTAACTCTCTTGGTACGCTTTCCGTATCGTTGCAACTTGTATGCGTTACTCATAAATCCCTGGGATTCAGTGTCAACCAAGTTCAGCTTTTTTACACTTTAGAATTTTTTTGTCACTTCCCTACGCACTGAAGTAGTGCAAGTAAAATCTATAAAAAGGAATCTCAAAACATTCATCTATGACTGCAATTCAAGTGCATGTCGCATATTACTGCAGCAAGGACGTTAGATTAAAAATGACGGTCGCATTTTATACAGCATTTTATTTACAAAAGTAAAGTAAATGAACCTTTTTTTAGAAATATGAAATATTAAAAATTAAATACGTTAATGCTTTTTCTTAAATCTCACAAAAATGTAGTGCACGGAGCATTGATGTCATGAGGTTGAGATGTGACGTAAACATTTTTTCAAACAAATCCATTAAGTCCATCATTACGCGTTATTCCAGTCAGTTGCTTATTTGTTATGATATAGCAGTGTCCGTGCACCTTAGTGTTAAGACGATACTAAATAAGGGTCCTATAATACGATAAGAAGAATCGAACTGTGCAGAAGTAATTATAGAACTCTTTGTAATTTGATTGCATTCAATCTTTTGATTTATAATCTGTATATATCGTGATTCTGATGCTTTTAACAATCATTTCATTAGTAAAATCAATTTAGAATAATAATATATACCATATAATAAAAATAAATGTTAATATAATTCGCTAATGTTGTGAGCCTTTCTTTTTTAGTATATACAATAAGATTTTATGTGTTCCCATTTACAATATTCTTAACTATTTGTGTCTAGAAAAAGCTATTCTGTGAAGAATCGACAGAATGTCAGAAATTCTATTAATTCAAAATAATAAACAATTTTTGTTGTTATAATTTTCTACTATTCAAGAAAAACTTCTCTATTGAAATCAATAGTTTATATTGAAAATTTGTGAAATAAAAAGTTTTTGCGACAAATTTGGTTTAGAAGTGTGACGTTTACTATTAGGAATTTAGTATTTTAGGCATACTTCTATTATTTTCTAGATTTTATTAAGTTAAACACACTGTTGGCTTAGTGATATGGATTATCTATTAAACACTGTAAACTCACATAAGCAAATTGTGTTCTTACACCTGTACTTTATGTTCTATACAAAAAAAAAATTGGACATTATTTTTATATATTTAAATCTATATACATGTCACTTTTCTTACCCTATAAGTGCTTCTTCCACTGTAATAAAAATTGCATATGATATTATATGACCTTCCTGACAAGGCATTCAGGCTCTGTTGCTAAGTCCATGTTCATGCTCTTTAATAATTTTGAGGAGCTGATGAGTGCTAACATTGCCGGCATGCAAATTTCCTAAACCTCACAAATTGGGCTTAGCAGAATTGCCATTACGAACAAATAATAAAATATTTAGTAATGAGAGTGTAGCATGAAAATAGACGAAAATCACTAATTGGAGTCACGGATTTAGTCATAACTTAAACTTATAAAACATAAGGCAAAAAAAAAAAATTGTGCAACTTTTTTAATATTTTAAAATAAATTAAATATTCGTATTTATACAAATAAATTGTCAAACATTTTCACGCACGGAAAATACCGAATTTATTTAGAAAATTTGAGTACTAAAAGTTCAACCAGTTCTTTTTCCATAAAAATTAATATAGAATTTATTTTATTTTAATTTTTTTTTTTTTGGTAAAACATTATTTCAAATTATCTTAGTACTTTTTTAATTCTCCAGTGACATTCTCAAAGCAGCGGTGCGCATCAAACTGCTCGCAGGATATCACAGAGATGTTATTAAAATTGAATCCGAAACACTTGAATGTGAAAAAACTAAGCTTTTCCTACTCATTAAAACTGGTAACTTAACTAAAGTGAAAATTTCATAACATCCTTCATAATGGCATCTACAAAAAAAGTCCTTTGACAGTGAATCAGTTTATTCGTGAAAATATTGGAGTGCTTAAAATAAGGACAGTACTGTCAAAAAATAACATTCTCGCGACGTGGCCAATAAACAGTCGTTATAAATAAATAAAAAATTAAAATAATAATAAAAATTTTTAAAAACATTTAGAAGATTTTTTTAGTAAAGAAAGACTAAAAAAATAATTCACTTCGTTTATTTCACATTACAAATAGATAATAGAATAGAAACTCTTGTGTAAAGATGGCATATACTTGTTTTAGCTTTAGTATGTATTTGTTTTAGTATCACATACGTTGAGTTTCATACCGTTTCGTCTCTAGACTACCGTGATATTTGGTACTTACGCTAGATCTCGAATAGATAAAGTCTTTAACAATTTTG